GGCAGGCTGAGGCTCAGGCTGACGAAGGCTGAGGCCGAGGCAGGCTAAGGCTGAGGCTGAGGCAGGCTGAGGCTGAGGCTGAAACTGAGGCAGGCTGAGGTATCCGTAGGAATCCATAGGAATCCTTAGGAATCCGTAGGCATAGTTAAGCATCCTCAGGAATCCTTAGGAATCCTTAGGATTCCATAGGAATCCTTAGGAATCCCCAGGAATCCATAGGAATCAGGATTTCTAAGGATTCCTAAGGTTTCCTAAGGATTCCATTGGATTCCTAAGGATGCCTAAGGATGCCTTAGGAATCCCTAGGAATCCTTAGGATTCCATTGGATCCTAAGGCCGTTGCCACTGCGACTGTCATTGCGAATGCGACTGCGACTGCGAGAACAGCAGAATTCTACAACTGGATTCTCACCTGAATCTTAAGGGGACTGCTTCCAGATATGCTTATACACATCGCTGATAGGTTGCTTTGCCGGGATAATTTTGTGAAGAGACCGGCGAGAAAAGTGAGAGAGAGGTAGACAAATATAGTACATGAGTGTATATAGAAAGAGAGAGAGAGAGAGAGAGAGAGAGAGAGAAAGAGAGAGAGAGAAAGAGAGAGAGATGGAGGAACACATCCAATACCAACGACACGAAACAGATAAGGAAACAATCATGAACATTTCGTGTAAACAAAAAACAATCAAAACAGTGAGGTCCGCAACACATCCCGGTCTCGACTCCTTCCCCTGCTCCTTCGCCTCTTGTTTGTCCTCCTCCGTTTCCGCCTCCTCCTCTTCCTCCTCCTCTTCCTGCTCCGCGTCCTCCTTCTCCTCCTCGTCCTCCTCGTCCTCTTCCTCCTCCTCCTCCTCCTCCTCCTCCTCCTTCACCTTCTCGTCCTCCTTCGCCTCCGCTCCTCCTCATCCTCCGCTCTGCCTCCGCCTCCGCCTCCTTCTCCGCCGCTCTCTCCTTCTCCTCCTGCTCCTCCTCCTCCTCCTTCTCCTTCTGCTGCTGCTCCTCCTCCTCCTCCGCCTCCCTCTCCTACGCCTCATCCTCCTCATCCTCCTCATCCTTCCCCTCGTCTTCTTCCTCGTCCGCCTCCTCCTCTTCCTCCTCCTCCTCCCTTTTTCTCCTCCCTTTCCTCCTCCTCCGCCTCCTCCGCCTCCTTCTCCTTTCCTTCTCCTCCTCCTCCTCCTCCTCCTCCTCTTCCTCCTCCTCCTCCTTCTCTTTCTCCTCCTTGTTCTCCTCGTCTTGCTCCTCCTTCTCCTCCTCCTCCCGCTCCGTCTCCTCCTCCGTTTCCTCCTTCGCTTCCTCCTCCTCCTCCTCCTCCTGTTCCGCCTCTGCCGCCGCCACCGCCTCTGCCTCCGCCTCCTCCTCCTCGTCCGCCTCCTCCTCCTCCTCCTTCTCCGCCTCCTCCTCCTCCTTCTCGTCGGCCTCCTGCTCCTCCCCCTCTTCCTCCTCCTCCTCCTCCACCGCCTCCTCCTCCTCCTCCTCCTCCTCCTCCTCCTCCTCCGCCTCCTCGGCCTCCGCTCCACTCCGCCTCCTCCTCCTCCTCCTCCTCCGCTTCCCCTGCGCCGTGTCCTCCTCCTCCTCCTCCTCCTTTTCCTCCTCCTTTTCCGCCTCGTCCTCTTCCTCCCCTCCTACTCCTCCTCCTCCTCCTCCTCCTCCTGTGCCTCCGCCTCCGCTCCGCTTCCGCCTCCGCCCCCTTTCCGCCTTCGCCTCCGCCTCCTGCTCCTCCTCTTCTTCCTCCTCCTCCTCCTCCTCCTCCTCCTCCTATTGGAGAGGCCTGACGGCCGGTGCCGCCGACCCTGATCGAAGGGGCTTCCTGGGGGCTTTTTGGAAGCTTCTTGGGGACTCTTGGGGGCGGCCTGGAACATCTGGGGGCTTTCTGAGAGCCTCTCGCGGCTGAGGGGGAATGTCCGCTTGGGTCTGCTGTCTGGGCACTCTTTTGGAGTGGTCTTGGGGGCCACCTTTTGGGTCGTTTTGGCGGCGTCTCGGGGTGTTTGGCGCCTTCATGAGTAATTTTGAAACTCTCTTGGAGGGTTCTTGGGCCGTCTGGCGTCGATCTTGGGGGTCTCTTGGGCCGTAGTGGAGTGTCGTGAAACATAAGAGGCGGAAACGCCTAAATCATTCCAAACCCAATGGGAGATCAATAGATTTAGCGTTTTGGGGCCCTCTTGGGAGTGCTCCTCGAGGGCTTCGGGCCATTTTGAGTTGTTCTGGAGCCTGTGGCATTTTTGGGGGCTTTGGCCGTCTTCAGACGATCTTGACGCGTCCTGCAGCCGATTTCGCGCAGCTCCGGATACCAAAGCTAGGGGTCACGTTTTGGATCCGGGCCCCTTGCGATGAGGGGGGGAGTGGGGGAACAGAAAAGTATATAAATTTTACCAGACATTTAACAAACAGTCTAACTCGCTCCCAGATGCCGAAGGCTCTTGGGCCGTCTTAGAGCCCTCTTTGAGGCATCTTGGGCCATATTGTGGCACTCTTGGGGGCCTCTAGAGCCGTCTTGATCCGTCGGACAGCCGAAAAAGCGAGAAGGCTGCAATCATTCAAATCCCAATATAAAATGAACGATTTTAGCTCCTGGGGCTCTCTGGGGCTTGCTCTTGGCGCTCTCTTTTAGCTTCTCGGGAGACGTTCAAATGAACGAACTTAGCTCCTGGGGCTCTCTTGGGCTTGCTCTTGGCGCTCTCTTTGAGCTTCTCGGGAGACGCTTGGGCCGTTTTCGGACAGTCTTGAACGTCTTGGGGCGATCGTTCGTGGATGCGTTGCGCTCTTGTACCGTCTTGGGGATGTATTAGGGCGCTCTTGGCTCGTCTTTGAGCGCTTATTGGCCTTGCTACTTCCCGGCAGGAGAACGAATCTGGGTGGCGACCCCCCCTGGGACCCTCCCGTGACCCCACGGGACCCCCCCAGGACCCCTCCCCCTCCTCCTCTTCCTCCTCCTCCTCCTCCTCCGCCTCCTCGGCCTCCGCCTCCACTCCGCCTCCGCCTCCGCCTCCGCCTCCTCCTTCTCCTCCTCCTCCTCCTCCTCCTCCTCCTCTTCGTCCTCCTCCTCCTCTGCCTCCGCCTCCGCTCCGCCTCTGCCTCCGCCCCCTTTCCGCCTCCGCCTCCGCCTCCGGCTCCTCCTCCTCCTCCTCCTCCTCCTCTTCCTCCTCTTTCTCCTTCTCCTCTTCCTCCTCCTCCTCCTCCTCTTCCTCTTTTCCTCCTCCTCCTCCTCTTTCTCGTCCTCGTCATCGCCCTCGTCCCCCTCCTCCTCCTCCACCTCCTCCTCCTCCTCCTCCTTCTCCTCCTCTTGCTCCTCCTCCTTCAGGTCCTGGGGTGTCGAGCCTGACTGGCTGAGGCACCCGTCCGGCGGCGCCGCCGGCGGCTCGGAGCGCTCTCTCTCCTGGCGAAGCTCCTCCCGTGCGTCGGAGGTCCTGTCCTCGCTCCCGCCCCCGAGCTCCACTTTCACCTCTTCCCTCCGCGCGGCTTGGTCGTCTCCTCCTCCTCCCCCCCCTCCCTCCCTCCCTCCTCCTCCTCCTCCTCCTCCTCTCCTCCTCCTCCTCCTCCTCCCCTCCTCCTCCTCCTCCTCCTCCTCCTCCTCCTCCTCCCCCTCCTCCTCCTCCTCCTCCTCCATCGTGGTGGAGTGCACGCGGGGCTCGTCCAGCCAGGAGCGGACCTCCGCGGCGTGCCAGAGGGAGGTGCCGGGCGCCCTGCCGACGGCAGGCCGCCGAGCGAGCGCCCGCTCTCCATCCCGGCGCGCCGCGCCTCCCGAAGGCGGGCGAGGCGCCCGGGGACCTCGCGGCCAGCCTGAGCAGGGGCCGCTCGGTGCCCAGCTGCTGGCCCGCGGTGAGTGCCCAAGGGCGCCCTCGAGGGCGCGAAGCTTTTCGCGCTTCGCGCGTCGCGCTTCGGCTCCGATTCTTCCTCACCTTCCTCTTCTCCCCTGGGAGGCGGCGCGAGAGCGCGAGTCTATTCCCACTTCGCGCTTCGCGCAGCGCGAAGCGCGAAGCGCGAAGTTGGGAGCCCTTGGCGCCGCCGTCTGCGGGCGTCCCGCGGCCAGGGCCAGCGGAGGCCACGCGGCGGCTCGCCGCGAGGCCGCACCGCGTCCCGCCGCCGCGCGGCGCCATTGGCGCGGCCGCGCGCGTCTCTCTTGCCCCTGGTTTTGGGCCCTGGCCTCTGGGCTACTCCAGATTTCGTAATAAAAGGGAGGGGGTCACAACCCTCCCAGACAAGAAGTTTTAGACCCCCCCAGACTATCCATGAAAGGGCGACCCTTTGCCCAGACCCCCCCGAACCCTCCAAGACAGCTCAAATTAGACCACCCCCCGAATGTGACCCCCCCCACTTTGTTATGGAATCCGGGGTATCTGAGGCCGACCCCGAGCTCGGCCTAGAAAAGCTACGGGCCAGATTCGTGGGAGAGGGGGGAGGAGCAAGCAAGAGCTCCGGCAGAAGCGAGGGAAGCCCGCGCAGATCTGGGGGCCGGTTGGCCCAAACCTTGTATCAAACATCCAATACCCGGGCGGCCACCTTACGGGCCTCTTGGGCCGTCTCGGGGTGTCGGAAATTCGGGATGACCAGAATTCTACAATCACTCAATCAGATTTGGTGGAACGTCAGGGATCTTGGTTATGGACCACTTTCTGGGGTCCATTTGGTGCCCTCTTGTGGCATCTCGGTGGCCTTTTTGGCCCTCGTGAGTCCGCCTTGGACCAGGGCCCTCTTGGACCGTCTTGGGGGCTGTCTTGCGACCCTCTCGGGCTGTCTTGGTGCCTTCTGGCCCCGGGGAAGGGCATGCGAGAAACCACAGCGAATCTGGCAATTGGTGGTCCGGGCCCTTCAAAGGGAGCACCATCAGAGCTCGATGGGGGCCTGAGGACACTCCATGCCTGCGGCGCAGTGGCGGGTATCATGATTATGAACAGGAGGCCAGAGCTTTCGCTTGGGGCTTCCTCGGGGCCATGCCGGAGGCCACCTCGGCCAACCAGGGCCGTCTTGTGTCTTCTCCCCCCCCCCGTCCCTCCCCTGCTTGCAGCAGCTTTTCCTCAGGCACGGTCCAGCGGCCCGCGGTTCGCAGGGATGGCCCTGCCGATGCAGCCCGACGGGCTCTGCGTCATCTGCCCCGTGGTGCGCGCGACGGAAGGCTCGGAGTGCACCCACGCTTTCCACCGCGCCTGCGCCTTCATGTACCTGTCGGAGGGCTGCAGCACCGCCGCGGCGGACAGGGGCTGCCCTGTCTGTCGGCGCAGCTGGCAGCGCGACGGCCTGGTGGAGGTGGGCCCTGGCGGCCGCCCTGTCCGGAGCTTCTGGCCAGCGCCCCGTCGCGCCGCGGGCATCGAGGTGGCCGCGGCACCGTCGTCTGTTCAGCGCGGGGAAGCGCAGGACTTGGGCTTGCCAGAACTCGGGCCTGCCGCTGCTCTTTGGCGGTCGCAGCTCGAGCTCCGACTCATCGGTTGTTCGTGAGGTTTCTGCAGCGAGAACTCGCGATAGACTTCTGAGTGGGTCCCGCCATGCCTCAGGGAAGCCCCGCCAGGCCAGCCCTACAGCCAGAACGATGAACTGAGGTTATGATGCTCCAACTTACTTTTGCCTTGATCACCAGGGCGAATTTGAAGCACTGGGCCATGGGAGGCGATACTCGTTCGATGCTGTTTCGATGCCTTTCCGGGTGCGCGAGATAATTTTTGAGAGGTGGTCCTGAAGTACGCTGGGAGTACCTGAAACTAAGGACCACTTCGCGCTCAAGAGGGGCTCCTGTTTTCGGGCCGCTCCTCAGGATCGGGAGCCTGTTCCTGGCCGAGGCTAGCCATGGCCAGAGAAAACCCTGGGTTGCTGATCTGGCGTCCCTTAAAGTGGGGGCCAATGCCAAGAAACACCCTGCTTGTCTCCAGGGTGCCCTGGGTTTCTCGGGTCTCGATGGTCTTCCTGTGGCCAGGCGTGCCGTTCCCACGCCACACATCGATGGACGCCCTGGGGTCTCAGGGTTGGGCTTCCCGTGGAAGGTGCCTCGTGGTCGAGCTCCTGCCGTAGCCGGAGCCCCCGAAAGCCCGAGCCACACGCCCCCCCGATCCGCGGCCCCCGCCCTGCGCGGCGGCCCCCCCCACGCGCTCGGCGCCTCCGGGCCCCGCCGCGGCCCGCTCGCCGCCGGGCGGGCGCGACCCGCCGCTGCGCGTGCGCGCCGACTACGTGCGCCCCCGGCGCGGGGGGGCGCGCCCCGAGCGCGCGGCGCCGCTGCAGCGGTGCCCGGTGACGGGTGCCCTGGTGCCCGCGGACGACGTCGCCGCGCACCTGCGCAGGGCGCTGCGCGGCGGCCCGGCTGCCTCGGCGCCGAGGAGGAAGCGCCGGCACGGGCGGGCGTGCTCGGAGGTCGGGGCGCGGTTCGCTTGGCCAGGGGCGCCCTCGAGAGCGCGAAGTTCTTCGCGCTTCGGGCTTCGCGGTTCGGCTCCGATTCCTCCTCCTCCTATTCTCCCTCGGGAGGCGGGGGGGGGGGAGAACGAGGTTATTCGCAATTCGCGCTTCGCGCAGCGCGAAGCGCGAAGTTGGGAGCCCCTGGGCATGCTCGGGGGTCGGGGCGCAGTTCCTCTTGGCTCTCAACACGCTGGGCCCCCGCCCTGGCGGAGCGCCGTGGTGTCGCCCCCAGCGCGCTCCGCGCGCCTGGGGGCATGGGGCCCAGCGCCGGCCCCCAGAAAGCCAGCGCGGACCTCCGAACCTTGACCCCTTGGTCGTTGAAGTAGGTATTTTTGAGTCGGGCCTGTCCCTCTACCGGGGGAGCATTCCAGAATAGTCAAAAATAGTCAGGGGACTATTTTTGGAGTATTTTTGATTATTTTTTTAATATGTTTTTTTTGTTATATTGATTTTTCGTCGCAAATCACTCTGTAGTGGGACTCGCCCGACTTGAAGGTATTTGGGGACTCCCAGGGTCCAATCTACTTTGGGCGCCTTCCTACTTCAATGATTGAGTGGCTTCACCGCTTCCGTCATCCCTAGGGGGCAGGCGGGCACCCAGTCTGCTTTCAACGCCTTCCTACTTCATGTTTCTCCCCGCTTCCTCCGACCGACGGGTAATGTCTGAGCCGGCTCTTCCTGCTCAGGCCACAGGGGGACGAACAATGACACAAACACAAAAACTTGGAGTTCCTCGCGGATTTCTCGGATCGGCGCTGGACCCCCCTATAGCGGCGCCTCTGGCGCCGCCCCTGGCGCGCTCCGCGCGCCAGGGAGGGGGGTCCAGCGCCGACCCGAAAACTCCGCGCGGACCTCCGAGCTTTTATCTTGATGTCATTGCTCAAGGGCGCCCTCGAGGGCGCGACGTTGTTCGCTCTTCGCGCTTCGCGGTGCGGCCCCGATTCCTCGTCCTCATCTTCTCCCCCTGGGAGGCGGCGCGAGAGCGCGAAGCTCTTCGCACCCCGCGCTCCGCGCAGCGCGGAGCGCGACGTTGGGAGCCCCTGCCGTTCGCCCCCCTCGACCAGCGGGGCGCTCCGCGGCCGGCGGCGGGCTCGCCCCGCAGGGGGCGGACGCGTCCCTGGCGCGCTTCGCGGCGCAGCGCCCCGACCTGTGCGGCAGCGCGCCGGAGCAGGCCGCGGCCGCCGCGGCCCACGAGGCGGGGGCGCCGACGAGGCACAAGCGGCCGCGGCGGTGCGGCTAGCGCTTCGCGGAGGCGCGGTCGCGGGGGAGGCTGCGGCGCCGAGGGCTCGCCGCGCTCCCAGAAGAAGAGCGCACGGTGTGCACACAAAGCTTTGGCGCTCCGCGCGGACTTCTTGGGTCCGCGCCGAGCCCCCCCCCCCCCCAGCGGCGCCTCTGGCGCCGCCAGGGGGGGGGTCCAGCGCAGATCCAAGAAGTCCGCGCGGAGTGCCAACAGTTTATGTTTATGCTGTTTTTTCTTCGTCGAGATCGGCGGGATGGTTAGGGTGCAACGCTCGGGTGACCAGCGGTCGTACCAGCGCGTCCTAGTATACTTTCTCGCTTCCGTCGAGGGCAGCGCGCAGCGCAAGTCGGTCCAGCTCCGAGTTCGACCCAGCAGACCTGTCGGGGCGATACGAGCGTGGATGGGCCGAAGCGGCCAGGCACAATCAAGCAGAGCATCCGCTCGGACACTGCAGAGGTGCTGGAGAAGATGCCTAGGGCCCACCCTCCGTGTTTTTTCGTGTCTCAGCTTCCAGCCATCCCTGGTATCTCAACCTTTCGCGCGCCTGCACGCAGGCATCGTAGCCGTGCTGCCGTCCTGGCCGTCCTCCGCGCGCCCGCCGCCCTTCGAGCAGTTCTTCGGCAGGGCAGCGGCCTGGGCGCAGCCATCCTCTGTCGGAGGCGGTGGCGCTCAGATCCGACGCTCAGTGGTGGCGCCCGGTGACGCCGTGGGGGTGCGGCCGTCGCGGGAGGGCCGCCGCCGCCTCGGCTGCCCTCGCTCGCCTAGTCGCGGCGGCAGCCTGTGGTGCGCAGTGCGCTCGGCCCGCGCGCGCGGCCTCTCACAGCAGAGGCCCACGGCAAGGAACGCCCTGCTTGCCTGCAGGGTGCCCTGGGTTTCCCGGGTCTCGACGGTTTTGCCATGGAGCGCGCGACGTTCCCACGCCAAAAGTCAAGGGGCGGTCCGGGGTCTCAGAGCCGGGGCCTCTTGTGGAAGGCTTATTGCGGTTGAGCTCCCGCTGGAAGGACCGCTGCGGGCCCAGGGGGGGCTCGCGCTTTCGGGCCGCTCCTCGGGTCCAGGTCGGGGAGCTCACTCTGAGCTTCTTCCTGAGCGTCGGGGGGGCGACGCCCCCGCCGACAGCCCCACATCAACCCCCGTCGCGGGGGGCCACCGGGCGCCGCAGGCGCTCCGACCCCCGTCGCGGAGCGACGACGAGGCGAGCGTTGGCCCCCGTCTGGGGGGGGTACCCCCCCACGCCTATGAAGGAACCCGGAGTATTCGTGGCCAGGGCTCGCAGTGGTCAGGAGAGCCCCCTCGCTGCTTCTATGTGGCGCTCCTTCCGTGGCAGCGCGTCGGCTGTGGCAGGCCCGGCCACCATCTTCGAAGCCCGCACCCCCCCCCCTCCCTCGCGCCCCCCCCCCCGCCTCCCATAGGGCGACGAGACCTGAAGACATCTCCAGCGCCCCGGGCCTGGGGCACTGGACATGTCCAGATCTCGCTGCTCCCTGCCAAGCGCTGCCGACCTCCCCCTCCCCTTCCCCCCTCCCCAAGGGAGGGAAACCCACCCAGACCCGACAATTGGCGATTACGGAACGGCCCTGGGCGTTCACTAACCAGCCCTGCCCCGTTTGATTCCATCCTTGGGGTGCGTTTACTGAACGGCTTCGCTCTCCGGGGTGATTTTGATGAGTGTAGATTCTCTTCCGGAGGGGAAAAAACACACAGACACAATCAAACGCCAAGCTCCGGGAAAATATGGGGAAATGCGGCAATTGGGCGGTGGGGGAAGACGAAAACCCAGAACGTCTGGGAAACCATGGGGAATCCTGGGATTTGTGTGTGTGTGTGTGTGTCTGTGTATTGAGGAGGAGGAGGAGGAGGTGGAGGA